GAAGCAGAGAGCTGTGGTTAGAGCCCCAGGCGAGCTGCCCCACCCTGTATACTCCCCTCCTCCTGGCCAGAGCTCCCAGGGGCAGCTAGGAGCCCACTGTACACACCATGCCACCTGGGGCATCAGGCAAGACACAGGCCAGTCTGGCTGAGAAGTTGTATCCAGTTGGCACTCTGGTGCCTGCCCAGAGTTTATGCTGGCCACCTTCCCAGCCTGAGGCCCTCTGGATGCAGGTTGCTGGGGGCTGGGGGTGGGGGGGGAGAGAAGGGCCATGGCCTCAGCGGTCAGGGTGCATTCCCCTGGGGCTCTGCAAGGGGCCAGATGGGGACCGGATCACAGCTGCAGAGGGTGGGCCTTCTGCTCACACCTGTGCAGGGTTCTGAGGCTTGAGGCTGTGGGATGGAGCCAGAGATGGGCCCAGTGCAGTGACTCCGATTTTCTCTGCAAGGCAAAGGGCCTCTGAAAGAGTATTACAGTGGCCTCATCAGCCAGAAGTGTTTCCAGCACATCCAGGTCTGTACTCCGTGGCTGGAGGCTGAGGACTACCCTCTGCTTCTAGGTAAGGGCATCCAGCAGGGAGAGAGCTGGGGTTTAAAAGGGAATATTCTAGGATAGGGCAGGGACAGAGTTTTTCTGAAAAGGGCCAGATAGTAAATGTTTTATCTGCTTCTATTGCATAGTCTTTGTTTTTATAATCCTTTACAAATTAAAAGCCATCCTTAGCTCCAGGGCCAAACACACACAGGCCTCAGGCTGGATTGGGCCCTGCTTAGGGACTGTGTGGGGCCAGGAGATGCCACCTGCCAGGAACCTGTCGGAGGAGCTCTTGGCTGAACTCCAGGAGACCATGCTGCTTCCTGATGTGCCGGCTTCTCCCGCCTGCCGGGCCCCAGACCTGTGTATCAGGGTTCTGTCCTCTCAGCCTCTGAGCCCTCCATTCAGTCCTACTCTTCCATCTGGGTAGAAGGGCTGGGCCTGGCTTTGGGTTGGGGTTCCCTGTTCCCCAAGTCTGGCAGGACAGTGGCTTGGGAGGTACAGAAATAAAGTGTTAAACAGCATCGACTCCCCTCGATCTCTCCTTTCTTCATCTTCCTCTCTCCGGAGGGGCATGCTGGCGAATCTCTAAGGCCTCATCCTCCAGTGAGCAGTCTCGAGTGGAAAGCCTTGGGTTGGCAGGAATTTCCAGCCAGTATTTATGCGAAGTTGTTTATTTGGCTTTATTTTCACAGTGACAGCTGCTTTTCTCTTGGGTCTGCTATGGGTTTTTCCCCCTAATTATTGTGGTAAAACACCATTACAGTACAAATTTGCTATTTTAACTATTTTTCCATTTTTATTTTTATTTATTTTTTTTAAGATTTTATTTGTTTATTTGACAGAGAGACAGAGCGAGAGAGGGAACACAAGCAAGGGGAGTGGGAGAGAGAGAAGCAGGCTCCCCGCTTAGCAGGGAGCCCGATGTGAGGCTCGATCCCAGGACCCTGGGATCATGACCTGAGCCGAAGGCAGATGCTTAACGACTGAGCCACCCAGGCGCCCCTATTTTTCCAATTTTAAGTATACGTACAACTCAGTAGCATTAATTACACGCACAGTGTTGTACGATCGTAACCACTGTCTATTTCTAAAATGCAGAAACTCTCAACCCCTGAAGCAATAGCCACTACAGGTTCTTTTAAAATATAATGTGGTTAAGTAGACAAAGGGAGTTTGTTTGAATAAAACTATCCGTGACGGGCAGGTCGTTTTCAAACAGGGACGAGTGGCCAGGAATGGTGGTTGGGGAGCTCTTCTGTGTGTCTGCCCTTCTCCAGGCTGCGTGGCCAACTCAGCCAGTTGTATGTGGGGCTGGGGGCTTTCCCTTCCCGATCCACAGTCGTTTCAGGATTTGTGTTCAAGGGGCATGGGCCAGCGCTCTGACTGCCCCCCTTGCCCCGACCTGCAGGGTCGGCAGACCTGGGTGTGTGCCTGCACAAGTCCTCCAGCGGCCTGGACCTGCCCATGAAGGTGGTGGACATGTTCGGGTGCTGTCTGCCCGTTTGTGCTGTGAACTTCCAGTGGTAGGAGCAGAATCCGAATCTTCCCTGAGTTAGGTTCTCAAATCAGCTGTGGGGGTAGTGGGGGGTTGCCAGCGAGGTCAGAATTGCTCAAGGAATTCCCCCGGAAAATCGTGCAGCATTGCCAGGTGGTCCTCTGGAGTAGGGCCTGTGGGGTTTCTGAGGGTGGGCTGCACCATATTGAAAGAGTGGGCTTCCACTTAGAGCTGATGTTGAATAAAAAATACGAGTCTTAAATACTCCACTTAGGCAGCCACTTACCCGTACTCATGGATAGAGTGGTGGCTGGAATTGCCTGCACAGCTGACCTGGTTTTATTTCTCTGTCCCTTTTGTCTGGGCTCATATAGTTGGATTGGAATCAGTTAAATGAGTGTAATTCTCTCTCCACTGTTCTTGGCAAAGATGGGTGTTTGGAGAGGTTATAGAAATAGTAGCCCCACCACTGGCTCAGGAGCCAGCCTCTGAATGGGAAATACAGGATGTTCGACCCTGAGCTCTGGGCACATTGGGATTAACTACCTGGTGACCCAGAAAAGTCACCCTTAATGTGCCAAGTCTCCATCCAGTGTGGTTGCCTTTTACCTTGTTTTTCTGCTGTGCAATTAAGAAAAAAATGGAGAGCCCATTGAGCACGTTCTCACGGAAAAGAACATGTAGCAGAAAAGGTCAAAGTGTGTGCTCATTGCACCTCCTTTTCAGAATCAGTTTGGATTTTTAAGGTGTATCCATCCCTCCAGGCCTTTCTTTTCTTTTCAGATGCCAAATCTAAGAACAGACTTACTGCAAGCAGACTGACTGTGGGAGGGGTGGAGTGGGAGTCCGGGCGGGCACTGGGGGGTTTCTCCAGGCAGCTCTCAGGTCTGTGGTTCTCTCTGCAGCTTACACGAGCTTGTGAAACATGAGGAAAACGGCCTGGTCTTCGAGGACTCCGAGGAGCTGGCAGCTCAGCTGCAGGTAGCCACGTCTGTCCCCACGCCGGGGCGCTGAGTTCCGCCCCCTGATGCTTTGCTCCTGTGACCGGGTGGGCCTGTGCTGGGTCTGGGTGAAAGTTGAGGCGGGGAGCAGTGGTCTCAGAGGCTGGGCCTCTGTGGGCTTGGTTTGTGTGGTGGGCCCTGACTGTCCTCTGGGTTTGTGGAGCTTACACCACACAGATGATGCTAGAGCTGGTGGACCCTGTGCACTGTCTAGGGAGCAAGTGACTGGTTCTGTGGGAGAGTGAGTGAAGGGAGCTTCGTGAAGCAGCCTTGCAAGGGGATGGGTGGGAGTCTTCAAAGGGTACTTACACTTATTACAAAAGATTGTGTTCATCATCGTTCTTGGCAGTTGAGACCAGGGACAGCAAACTTTCTGGAAAGGCCCAGATAGAAAATGTTTTCAGCTTTGCCATAGTCTCTGTCAGAAGTACTCAACTCTGGGGCGCCTGGGAGGCTCAGTTGGTTGAGAATCTGCCTTCGGCTCGGGTCATGATCTCAGGGTCCTGGGATTGAGCCCCATGTCGGGCTCTCTGCTCCACGGGGAGTCTGCTTCTCCCTTTCACTCTCCCTCTGTGCTTTCTCTCTCTCAAATAAATAAGATCTTAAAAAAAAAAAAAAGTACTCAACTCTGCTATAACATGAAAGTGGCCAGTCTATGAGTGAAGGGATGTGGCTGTGTTCCAATAAAACTGTACTTGCAAAGACAGGTGGAGGCCGAATTTGGCCCAAGGGCTTAGTTTGCAAACACATGATGTAGTTTAGCAAAGCTGGAAAGAACACAGACTGCCTAGTCCTAGCACGTGGGCTGAACAGTGGTGGGCAGAGGCTGAGGGTGGGTGCTCTTGGTGGACGGAACAGCACAGCAGAAGCGGTATGTGGATGGTATGGATGGAAAACGCTGCAGTCTGGCCGCACTGTCCAGTAGGAGCAGAGTAGGAGATGGAGTGTGGCTGGGACGTGAGGGCTCTCCTCTGCCCCGTGAGGAACGGGCTTGCTGGGTCCGGCATATCGAGTTCAGAATGTGCTTGAGCCAAGCTTGCTGTGGAAGCTGGCCCAGAGCGGGAACTGCGGGCTCCAAGACACTGGTAGTGTTCTTGAAGTGCAGCGACAGAGGGTTTCAGTAGATCACTGGCCTGGCTGCCGGTATTTGGAGGGGGACAGGAATCTAGGCTGCTGGGAAGGAGGAGGGACAGCTTTCGGGTGGGACCTGGGATAGGGGTGGGAAGCAGTGATGAGGTAAGTTCTGGTCTTTATTCTTCTAGATGCTTTTCTCAAAGTTTCCTGATCCTGCTGGCAAACTAAACCAGTTCCGGAAGAACCTCCGGGAGTCAGAGCAGCTTCATTGGGATGAGAGCTGGAAGCATATGGTGCTGCCGTTGGTTATGGACACGTGACCCCTTGAGCCAAAGACTGAGCGCTCCTGAGCGTGGCCCAGTTCCTCTTAGCCCTGGGCAAACGCTTTAGAACAGTGCCTCCGCGTGGACCGCAGCTGGAAGGACAGCTGTGGAATGATATTTTTTAATGACCTACAGTTTGTGGCCCAGGAAACTGGTTCAGCCTGGTTTCCTCCCCGGAGGCTCTGAATCTTAGACTCTTCTGAGCTGAGTGTTTCTTTCTCCCCACTATATTACTTTCTTGTTATTTGCGTGTGGTATCTTCAATATCTCTTTGACCTGCTTTTGTCTTATCATGTCTGCCTTTCCCAGCATCTGCCCCATCGTGTCCCTACTATTTTCATTCCTGCCTTGAGGACAGGTCCTGCAGCCTGCTGTGTTGTAACGTGTACAGTGGGCTTGGCTTCGTGAGGGATGTGGGTACAGGCTCGGGGGTGGGGTGGGGAAACATACTTGATACATGTTTTTATTTGCACAAATGAAATGCTTATTTCTGAGCCAAAATTTTCATTTATGATTTATAGAGATTTACTTAAGAACCAGAACTAGTGACAGAAAGGGGCACCCACTTGAATAGTTTATATTTTATTAGAACACAGTTTGCAGTTCCCGATTCTGAATTTAACATTCTTCAAGCATTCAGGTCCAGTGAAAATTTTATCAGCTTTGCTACATGAAAATTCTTTCCAGGATGGTGATTTAATTTTTATGTTAATCTTTAAAAGCGTTTGTAAACCTACAGCATTAGTTTCAAAATTGCCATGTCTGAGTGCTCTTCATAGGGAAACAGCTTCTGGTTGTGATGAGGCACTGCTTCCCATGGGATCCCAGCCTGGCCTGGAAATACAACATATGTGTCTCAGGATGGTAGGGTTTGGGGACACGACAGCACCCTATATGGTGTGGGGCTGCAGGACAGGCTGGAGGGTATATACAGACCACAGACTTTTGGCCCCATCCACACACCTAGAATCAGCCTTCAGGGATGGGACCAAGAATTGAGTTTTTAAATGGCCCATGGCAGCCAGGTTTGCTGCCCTGCCTTCTGGGCCCTGGAAGGTCGGTTTCCTGACTACTCAGCCTGGCGCCTCTTGGCAAAGGTTGGACATACATCAGAAGGGCTTACATCCTTTTCATAAGCACAGCTGTCTGAAGAGCCCTTGGCAAGGATCATTTTGTTACCAGTTTTTTATGAATGAAAATAATTATAAAAATGAAATACTAAAAGTATTGAAGTGTTGGCGTTCTTGGCTGGCTCATTCAGTGGAACATGCAACTCTTGATCTTGGATTCATGAGTTCAAGTCCCACACTGGGCCTAGAGCTTACTTAAAAATATACACACGTGTGTGTGTATGTGTGTCTATAATCCTGCCACAAGTACAACTGTTAATTGGTTATGTTCTTTCAGATTTTTCCCTATATGCATGTTAACATGAAGATGATTATTTTTAAAAATACAAATGGGCTTGGAGTGCCTGGGTAGCTCAGTTGGCTAAGCATCCATCTGTTGATTTCAGCTCAGGTCATGATCTCACGGTTGTGAGATCGAGCCTCATGTTGGGCTCCCCAGGGCACGAAGTCTGCTTAAGATTTTCCCTCTCAAAAAAAAGATTCTCCCTCTCTCTAAAAAAAATTGAATAAATAAAAATGGGCTTATATATATATATATGGTGTTTGGTACTTTGCTTTCTTAAACTACAGTGTATTTTTCATATAGTATCTGAAAGAGGACTTCATTCTTTTTGAAAGCTATAGGGCACTCTGTCCATGGGACATGGGCACACGTAGGGGGTGTTTGCCTGCAGAGGCGACTGTCGGTGGGGCTGTGCTTGGCGGGGGGAGGCGGGTTGGGGCAAACATGGTCCTGCACTGCGGCCAGGCTGTGTGTGGAAAGCCCTGATTGGGCCTGGCGCATGGCGGGCACTGCAGGATAGTGGCCACTGGTCGTGGGGTGGGAGAGTGGAGGGCGGGTGTTGGCTGCCTGGCTCCACTCTGGAGCCCGAGGTTTCCATGGGTGAGACTGGAGGATGACAGCATACCCGTCCCTGGTGCTAGAGGGGCTGACATGTCAGGTCTGAGGACAGTGCCCGGCCACAGCAGTGCCAGTTTGAGGTGTAAATGGCAGAGCCCCCCCCAGCCCGCAAAGTCCTCCCTGCTTTTCTTCCATTTACTGGGTGCTTAATACAGTGATAGCAGCAGCTACCATGTTCCCAAGTGCTCCCTGCATGCCAGTCCCTGGGTCACGTCCCAGGTGGGTATTTCCGCCGTAAAGATGAAGATGGGGAGGTGAATGGCGGCCCAGCTTCACCAGCGCAGGTGGGATCTGCTCCAGAGCCTGCATCCCACTACTGTGTGGCCAGAACTCATCTACCCTGACACCCACTGGCATCCACCATCCTCTCCCCTCCATTCTACAGACCAGGAAACAGGCCTGAAGGCCCTCAAAACCTGCTCTAAACACACAGTAGGGCTGCTGATCTCTGACCTCTAGGAACTGCTGCATAAACTGCCGCTTCCCCTTCAGAGCACAGCTCCCCGGCCCGGCCTCCTCCACTGACCACCCAAGGGTGGGGCAGCGGGTCGAGGACCCAGCACGTCGTGTGTTCTGGTTTGTTTCAGGGCCCCACTCTTTTGTGTTGCTGATTTCTGCCTCACTGGAGTCCTGTGTGGGGCCCAGGTAGCCTCGCAGAGATAGCAGCCCCTCCCGGGCCCATGGCTCACCTAGCTCGCTGGTGAACAGCCAGCAGGTCTCCGGGCTGCGGACGGTGAAGGCAATGTAGGCGTCAGGAGCCTGCTGGTCCTTCAGGCAAGCAGAGAGCCTCTGCAGGACTCTGACCAGGGAGATGACAGTTTCTGGGCAATACAGCACATCTGTAATTAAAAATCTCAGGTTACCGAAAGGGGCTCACTCCAGGATTCAGGATCCAGAAAAGAGGGTGCCTGGTTGTACTGACCTCAGCAGCAGGGCTGGGGCCTGGAAACCAGCAGTTTTATTAGAATCATGCCATTGGACACAAAGAAGATGATGTGGTTAAAAAGGAAAACTTACGAGAGAAAAAAAAGCTGCTGAAAGACCCTGCAAGAAATGGAAGATATCCAGGACTCACTGGTGTTCCTTTAAAAAAAAATCGATTCTTTGCCTATGGTCTATTTAGAAGATACTTAATGAAATAAACCCCAACCAGCTCTCTGTCTCAGAGTCCTTGCTTCCAGGGGCCTGCTGTTCTGTTAGCTGCACTGGGGGGCAGCGGGGGACAAACTTGCTCCCTGTCAGCATGCTTACATGGGAGGGTGCTGCTCAGGCTCTGTGTTCCGGCTGCTGTGGGCCTGTGGGTCTCAGGGCTGCAGTCCAGGATCAGGGGCACAGCACTGTCAGCCGGACAGGGGACTGGGTGAGCTTGGTGGAGGACTCTGCCTTGCACCCGAAGTGGCTAGTCCCCTCCCTCCCTCTTTCATTCCCTCAGAGATAAGATGTGGGGCTCATATCTGAAAGACATGGGGGCATGGACCTAGGATAGAGACGTGCAGGCAGAGCCCTTGGGGTCAGATGTGCAAACATCAGACAACAGAGCAATGTGCAGAGATAGAAGCAAGTGCTCACAGGGGTGGGGGCACTCAGAGCTTATTTCCTGACTCGGACACCACTGTGGTTTGACCCTAGGTCTGGCCCAGGGCTGGGTGTCTGTGATATGCTTAGGAATCAGACATGGTCCTGGGAGAATCATGCTTGTCCCTCGCAGCCCTGAAAAGATAGGGCTGCTGGGGCCATTTCGGCCCCACATCGGAAGACTGGGTGGTGGTGGAGGTGGGGCTAGAGTTCAGCTCCCTTGCTTCACGCCGCCGCTCTGGCCATTTCATTCAGGTTCTAGAGAGGGACGTAAAAATCTCTCTACTCAGCTGCAGCCTGGCTAATAGGTTAGACGGCTTTGGTGCCGTGGGGCCTGTTCTCTCCATCTCAGGCTTTGCTGAGAAAAGCTGGGTTCATTTATCTGATGGAACCATTTTAAATTTTTTTTTTTTTTAAGATTTTATTTTATTTATTCATGAGAGACAGAGAGAGAAGCAGAGGGAGAAGCAGGCTCCCAAGGAGCAGGGAGCCCAATGTGGGACTCGATCCCAGGACCCTGGGATCATGACCTGAGCCGAAGGCAGACGCTTAACCATCTGAGCCACCCAGGCGCCCTGATGGAACCATTTTAATAGGAGTACATGTGGCCACTGTGTCCAACGGGAGGGCTGTGGCTTTAGGGCATCCAAGAGACATGCCCCTGTGGTTTGAGGTCACCCTGAAGGCCCACAACGGCCCTTCTACAAGTCTCACCATTCCTCTCCCAGCAGGGTGCACTGTTCCCTTCCCAGAGCTGAGAGCTGGGAGGAGTCACTCCAGTTGCCCTGGGGCGGGGCGGGGCGGGGGACAGTACCTGCTGCTATGATTACGTCCGGCCGGAAGGCAGCCAGCTCAGGAGCAGTCACAACATCCCAGTCCAGCTGGGCCACTGTCACCCTGGGGCTCTCTGCGTCGTGGGCATTATGTCCTGGGTGCCTTTCAGGGGCAGTGGTGTCTGGTTCCAATGAGAGGCCATTGAGAAGGATGTTTCCTCGGAGCTGCTCAAGAACACAGCTGTGACAGTCGCTGAAGACGTACGTGCTGGGACAGCATGTCTTGCAAATGGCCAGGCCTGTGAGGCCAGCTCCACTGCCGAGCTCTAAGACAGTCCTGGGTGGGAAAAGGGGGCCTGTGTCTGAGACCGTGCTGGGGAAAACCGGCTTCCCTGCCCTGCCCTGCACCCCGAGGTCACCTGTGAGCAAAGGCGGCCGGGTTCTCTATGGCCCATTCAGCGAGGTAGAGTGCAGCGTCCCACGTGACCAGGCCGGTGGTGCCATGGGAAATGATGGCTGTGCTCTCAGAGAGCGTGACTGAGTCTCCAGAAGGCTGGGCCGAGACAGGGAGAGAATTAATCCCGCTACCAGGAGACAAGGAGCTGATTTTAAAAAGAAAAACATCACAACAGGTGGATGGCTAGATAAGACCGTGGAACATCCTCTCACAGAATGCTACACAGCAATGGAAAGGAGCAGGTTATCATTGTACACGTCACCTGGATGGGTCTCGAGGGTGTTAACGCTGCACAAAGAAAGCCAATCTCAGAAGGCCACACATTGTGTGATTCCATCCATCTGACCTTCTCAAAAGGACAGGACTGTGGAGAGGGAGAACAGATCAGTGGCTGCCCAGGGTGGGGTTGGCAGGGGCCCGGGGACATGGGAGGCCCGAGGGAGGTCTTTGTGGTAACGGAATAGGTCAGTATCTTGATTGTGGTGGTGCCCACATGGGCCTGCACGTGTGATAAATGAGGTACACCTATGCAGGCTCGGTGTGTACACTGGTGTCCCGGTTGTAATGCCGTACAAGTTAGGTCCCATGTTTCCAGTGGGGAATCTGGAGAAAGGGCACCTCTCTGTACTGTTTTTGCAATTTCTGTGAATCTGTAATTATTAACTACAACAAAAAGTCACAACTCCCTAGCATCATGAGCTGTATGTAGAAAGTCTCAGTGTGTGGGGCCTTCCTCAATTTGACCTGACATTTGGGGCTTGGGAATTCTCTGGTCTTTGAACTTTCCTATTGCCCTCAAAGCAGGTGGTTTGCTGGCAAGGGCTTCATGGAATATGCAGTCCTGAAATGTGTTCTCCAAAGCGGGGCTTCTGAGCATGGCACCTCCAACATGCCGTCACCGGGGGGTGGTTTCTGTCTATCTCTGAGCTCACAAAACTCATATAGGAGACTCCGGTGTCTGGAGTACTGTGAGCAGTCATTCGTTCATTCATTCATCCACACGTTTTTCCTGAGCATCTACTACGGTCCTGGGGACTCAGATGTTACAAGATGAAGTCATTCCCTGTTCTTATGGAACTTCCATGCCAATGGGGGATAAAACCATAATAAAGTAATTTCTCAGTTTTTCAGGGCTATGAAGAAAATAAAAAGGCTACATGATAATGGAGACTAGGAGGTCTATTTCAGATAGACTGGTCAGAGACAGCCTCTTTGATGTGTCATGTGACCTGGGATGTGAGTATAAAGGAGAAGTGAGACATGTGAGGTTCTAGGAGGAGAGCATTCCAGGCAGAGCAGGTGCAAAGGCCCTGAGGCAACATTTCAGTTGGTGAGTTCAAGGAAGGCAAAGAATGCCAGGGATCTGGAGCCAGGGAGAGCAGGAGGAACGAGATGAGAAGGCAGGCTGGGGCAGAGCATGCAAGGCATGGCAGGCCACATGAGAAACTAGGATTTGAGTCTGAGTATGAAGGGTAGCCACTGGAAGGTTCTGGGTGGTCGAGTGACATGCTCTGATTTACCTCTCAAATCAAGGGGAGCACTCTGGGGGTTCTGGGAGTGTGGTTTTGAATCTTCCTGAATCCCCACATACAAACAGACAGAGTAGTGAGATATGGACAACATTCAACAAAACTAAGTGAAGCCAAAATATCAACAAGTGGGGGCAAACCACCAACAGACACAAGACTAGTGTGCTCCATGTGCTGTGTCATGGGGCACATGACAGGCCTGAGGACAGAAGCCCAGTAGCCGAGTGTTCACTGGAAATGCAGGTACCAGCTGTGAACCACGGCCCACGGAGGAGAGAACTTGCTGCTCTAGTCATCGGGGGTGTGAGGGACCAGGAGTGAGGCCTAATGGCAACTAGAAACACTCAGAAATGCTCTCCTGTAACACCCATCCATGAAGTATTTACTGAGGACTGAGCACCAGGTCTCTACTATGCAATTATGTGCATCACCTGACTTAACCCCCAGCCACCCCATAAAAGAGGCACTATAATGTACTGAAATGCTTGGTTTACTGAAGGGGAAACCAAAGCTCAGGGTGGTTAACTGACCTCCTCTAAGACCTCAGAGCTGATGGGTCAGGATGTGCACCCACTTGAGGCTGACTGGAGTCTGAGTTTCAACTCTGTGTGCAGTGGTGGATGTCTGGATTGTGTGGGGGCGGTGCCCATCTCCTACCAGCAGATAGCTCCGGTGGCACTGGGTGGGCTCCTCAGCCATCAGGACCTCTGCCAACGCCTCGTACAGCTCGTCCAAAGGCTCCGTGTGGACAGCCTCATGCTGGGGGTGGGCAGAGCAAAAGCTTCAGCCAAGACATTTAAGGTGACCCTCATGAACCAAACAAAGGTTCCATGTGTTCACTTTTACTCTGACTTGTTAAAAAGGCTGGAGGATTTTTACCTAGATAGGAGATTTGGGATGGATTGACTTAATACAAGCCACCTGGCATACAAAAAATTCATTTGGTAGGGAAGCTGGAGGGTATCTCAGGTCTAGAAAGGGCAAGGGCGAGGTATAGTCTAGGGCAGCAGAAATGGGACTGCATGAACTGCCATGTGACGGTGACAGAGAGCTTTGCCCTTCCATCATGATGCTGTGAATGCTCACTTTTAAGTGAGCCCGGGCAAAAGCCATAAGGATGGGCACTCTACATGGTATGGTTGGCTTCATCAATGGGCAAGCCTCTGTCGTGCCCCTCACAGGGGCAGCAGCAGGGCGGCCATGCTTCTGGTGGTTCTGGGGAGACCTACGGGCCATGACTAGATGCACATGTTGGGGAGAATCAGGTGGGGAGGCAACAGAGAAGCCAGGAATGTTTCACATGCTAAGCTTGGGTGAGACATGGCCCGTGCATTCAGTGGCCAAACACAGCAGGTCTGATGCCGATCACTAAGGAATCACCTCTCTGAGGTCCAGCCTAATGTGAAACCCAGCAAGTTTTTTTTTTTACTCTTTTTTTTTAATGTTATGTTAATCACCATACATTACATCATTAGTTTTTGATGTAGTGTTCCATGATTCATTGTTTGCATAGAACACCCAGTGCTCCATGCAGAACGTGCCCTCCTCAATACGCATCACCAGGCTAACCCATCCTCCCACCCCCCTCCCCTCTAGAACCCTGTTTGTTTTTCAGAGTCCATTAAAAAAAAAAAAGAAGAAGAAAAAGAAGATAGCGGGGTGGGGGAAGAATGAAGGGTGGGTTCATTTTTAAAATACATCCTGTATCAGTCAGGAAGAGTCCACATCAGATAGCTCATTAGGGAGAAGAGGGTAAAGGGAGCTAGTTACAAAGGTATTGGAAGACCTAAAACATCCAATAGAGGGCAGTGTGGCAATCCAGAGATCAGCAACAGCAGAAGTGGGCTGGCCGGCTAGGGGAGAAAGGTGGGGGGAGTGGGGGTGGAACTGGGACCACAGAGGAAATGCAGCTGCTGCTGGAGACCTCCTGAAGCACAGAGGGAGAGATACCCTGGCCTCTCTTCCTCCTGCCCCCTCATAGCCTCTGACTGGTCAAACCCAGCTGGGAACAGTTATACAGGGAGGCCCCTGACATATTGGGGTTTGCAGAACAGGCAAAGGGCATGGGACAAATCCGAGCTCCAATAGGCAAAGCCAGGCACAGTCCACTTTCAGAGAGCCAGCCAAGTCCCAGGTGCTGTCTGGCTACCAGACAGCGCCCATTACTGACCTTTCTGATGAGCTCCGAGAGAAAGCACCGGGCATACCTCACTGATGGCGGATGCTTCACACACAGAGGATGTTTCACAGTCTGTGACAAAGGACGCAATGTGAGTTGCTGGAGAGACCCCGCCGTCAGTCTCCCATGAGTTTCAAGTGAATGCAGCACAACCCCCATTACTTGATCCCTCAGAAAAGATGTGTATAGACACAAGGGTTCTGGGTTCAGGTGACCCTCATGCATCTGAAACAGTAAGTCTTTTTTTTTTTAAAGATTTTATTTATTTATTCATGAGAGACAGAGAGCGAGAGAGAGGTAGAGGGAGAAGCAGGCTCCCAAGGAGCAGGGAGCCCGATGCGGGACTCGATCCCAGGACCCCGGGATCATGACCTGAGCCGAAGGCAGACGCTTAACCATCTGAGCCACCCAGGCGCCCTGAAACAGTAAGTCTTAAGATACAATTCCTTTCCTAAAAAAATTTCTCCACTATGGTGGCACAGGCTGACAGAACATTCTGGGTAGAATATGGAGCACACGGACCCAAGCTAACACCCTGCTACAGACTGAATGTTTGTGTCCCCCCCGTTCATATGTTGAAGTCTAAAACCCAAAGTGATGGTATTAGAAGGCAGGGCCTTTGGGAGTGATTAGGTCATGAAGGTGAAGCTCCCATGAATGGGATTAGTGCCCTTATAAGAGACCCCAGAGGGCTCCCTCGGCCGTGCCACAGTGAGGACACAGCTGTCTATGAATCAAGAAGTGGACCCCCACCAGACACCAAATTTTTGGGAACCTTGATCTTGGCCTTCCCAGCCTCTAGAACTGTGAGAAATAAAGTGCTGTTGTTTACAAGTCACCCAGTCAATGGCATTTTGTTATAGCAGCTAGAAAGGGCTATGTCACCCGTTCCCAGGGCAGGCAGCATGAACTAGTCTTTAGTGGGGACAATTGTGGGATTGTCCGGCTCTGTGGAAAAGGTGAGAGCCCAAATAGTGGGAACAGGCAGACTGGACACTTGCTCTCCTGGAGCTCACATGCCAGGCTGAGGATGAGTGCTAGGATGGCTGGGACAGAGGAAGATGGGGACTCTGCCTGGGATGTGGTGGAGGGGAAGGTGGCTCTCAGGGGTGACACTTCAGCTGATGTCTAGAGAAGCAAAGAGCACGGGGAGTGGGTTCCAGGCAGAGGAGATAGTTTGTGGAGGCTCTGAAGCAGGCATGGCCTGGCATTTTGGGAGGGAGGGCAAGGCAACAGGGGCAGTGAGCGTAGGGGCCAGGTCATGTGGAGGGACATGATTTTTTTACTCAAGGGCAACAAAATACCCACACAACCCTTCAGGGGCTTTCTAGTTGGCTGGTGTTAGGTTTTAGCGTCAGGATGAAAATCAGAGTGGGCTGCTGCACAAGGACCTCAGAATCTCTGAGCTCACAGTCGTAAACGACTGGGATGCCCTGCAAGCCTCCACTAGCCATGGCTGAATCTTTCCTAAATGGTGGTCAGACAATCTTGGTTCACCCTCCACACAGGAATGCTTAACCTAGGCTTCTTGGATGGGCTTGGTGGTTGGAGGGCTGTCTATAACTCCCTTGAATTTATATACAAAATGTATTCTTCTGGTCCTCCTTTTTATGGGGGTGGGGTGAGAACAGGAGAGTCTACAGCTTTGGATTTTCAGAAGGGTTCACGATCCTCAAGAGGGTTCATAGCCAGGATGCAGTGTGATTTCCACTTGATCCACCTGGCAGGGTCAGGGTGGGGCAAGGCCAGGCAGAGTGGTGGTCTTACCTCTACCCTTGCTCAGATGTACCTTAGAATTCAAACCCTACCTCAGAAAAGCAGGCATATCTACATCTAGAAGAGACACGAGTGGGGTGCCTGGGTGGCTCAGTTGGTTAAGCGACTGCCGTTGGCTCAGGTCATGATCCCGGAGTCCCGGGATCGAGTCCCACGTCGGGCTCCCTGCTCAGCAGGGAGTCTGCCTCTCTCTCTGACCCTCCCCCCTCTCATGCTCTCTATCTCATTCTCTCTCTCAAATAAATAAAATCTTTAAAAAAAAAAAAAAAAGAAGAGACACGAGTGGGCAAGACTTGCCTCCTTATTTTTTCCTTAAATGTAAATGTAAAGAAGAAAATCTTTGAGCAGCTACCAAATGCTAGAAGATGTTCCCATAGCTGTCATCTTGGTTTTCATTGTGGATAGTTTCAAAGACATCTCCCAGATTCCCTCCTCTCATGCAGATTTTTGTATATTCTAATGTCTTCATCTAAGAAAACAACAGAGCCAGAGCTGCCTGAGGTGCTGCTACCCAAATGCAGTGTCTTCCTTTTTAAAGGATACAAGTGCGCCCACTGTGTTTCTGTCATGTCTTCACGGGTGAGTCAGGAGGCTGGTGACGCGACCCAGTGATTCTGATTCTTACCTTCTGCAAAATATTCAGCAGCAGCTCAGGACCTGATGAGTCCCTTAATTTCTCTTCTAGGCTCTATTCAGAGAGAGAGCGGAGGGGAGAGAGAGAGAGAAATCTCAAGGGCATTTTCACAGGAACATTAAACATGCAATAGGACATGTTAGCAAAGTGCTAAGTGATCTCTCCCCAGGGACCTGGGGCCAAGAGGAAGGGGAAGCCACAGGCTGGCTGAAACCCTGAACTTGAGAAGTCCTGGGTTACACACCTGGATGAGTCAAAGAAAGAACATCAGAAGACAGACTCTTGGTTTGTGTTAGCCCTGGCTGCTTAGGCTCACCTGGGTCACAGAGCAGCTCCGCGGCTGAAATGGCCAACCAGGAATTACAGGAGGAGCCATGACACTGACACCTGATGGGCTCACCTTGGACTTGACATCTTTAAAATGGACATACAGGGGGCGCCTGGGTGGCTCAGTTGTTAAGCGTCTGCCTTCAGCCCAGGTCATGATCCCAGGGTCCTGGGATCGAGCCCCGCATTGGGCTCCCTGCTCCGCGGGAAGCCTGCTTCTCCCTCTCCCGCTCCCCCCGCTTGTGTTCCCTCTCTCTCTGTCAAATAAATAAAATCTTTAAAAAAAAAAAAAAAAAAATTGGACATACAGGCCAGGCCAGATTATGCTGTCTTCTCTGACAGAGAACTCCAGGCCAGCAGTGAGGTCAGGCTCTAGAAGTAGGCAGACTGGCCCTGGCTGGTGTGTGATATCAGGCAAATCACTTCATTTCTCCAGAGTGAGTTAGGCTCTAAAAGGCCTATAAACCCTGGCCCTTGCCCCTCTCTCTGACCTTATCTGCCACCACTCCTGGCCTCCTTGCCATTCCTCAATTGCAGCAGCCTGTTCTCACTGGCAGGGCCTTCCCACAGCTGGCTGCTTTACTGTTCAGGTTCTGGCTCAAATGTCACCTCTTGGGGGAGGCCTTCCTGACTCCCCTACTTTCATGATACATTTCCCTGTTTTATTGACTTTACGGCCACTGTCATCTCCTGGTGTTTTCTTGTTTATTCATTTACCTGTTTATTCTCTGGCTCTCCCATCCAAGCAGGGCCTCATCTGTAATGTGTACTGCTGATTCCTGGCACCTGGCTCATGGAAGGTATTCAGTAAATATTTGGTGATGGAATAAAAATACTAGCTAACACCTACCTCACTTACCACGAGCTAGACACTGCCTCAGGTGCTTTAATCTCCTGTAATTCTGACACCAGCACCATCACTGTATTCCCCATCTAATAAGAAAACTAAGGTATAGGAGAGATGTAGTCACTTGCCCAAGGTCAACACGGCTTGTATGGGGGTTGGCCAGGATTCAAAACAGGCAGGCTGGATCCCAGGCCTGAGCTCCCCCCTGCTACACTCTACTTCTTTACTAATCAAGCAATCTTTCTGGTCAAATGTGAATGGTACTAATAGTACCCCCTGCATGACTGTTGTAGGCCAGTCTAAGTAAGCATTTATCATGGGCCTGGTACAGAGTAAGCACTCATTTCATGTGAATAATTATAGTCGATATTGAATTGGGACCCACTGATGCTATTATGAAGGTTTACATTTTGGGTTAAAAAATTACATATTCCTTTCTGACTGGAAAGATCTCTCAGAATGCTAAATGGGTTAGGTCAATGAGACACAAATGACTAACCACCACCCCTTAAGATGGGGCAGACTTGGGGGGAGGAATATGTACCCAATCTGAGTCATCCCAATGAGCTCACCGCACATGAATTACGAAGGAGGCAGCATCATTAGAGCCCCTGCATTGGCAGAAGGAAGCTGCTGCCATGGTCATTTGCCTGTGCAGGTCTCCAGGGCAGGGGAGGTGAGACTTCTTTCCTCTCTCTTCTGGCCTGTTTTGTACCTCCCTGTCTCTTCCATCACAGGCATAAGGGCCTCAAACTGCCTCTGAGAGGATTTTGTCCAATGCTGACGGTACAGATGAGAACACCGAGGCCTGGCCGGGGAGGGAGGTGTGGGTGTCTGTGACTTGGTCACTGCGCTCACTGCAATTGGTCTCCCGGTGTCCTGAGGACGTTGACTGTTTAAATGGGCAGCAGCAATGGCTAGAATGACAACTAGCTAAACAAAAAAAGTAATGCAATTTATCGTGAATTGTCCCTGACCTAACTCCGAGTGACAAAGGGAGTTAGGAGGAAACGCCGCATTCCTTGAATTCGTGGACTCTGTGCAAAGGCAGTCGAGGGCGGGAAGAGCCAGGGGAGGAGGGAGCAGAAGGCCTAGTGCAGGCTGGGCTCCCCAAGCGCGCGCAGGTGTGCCCCCCGCTGCCCGCCGCCAGCCCGCGCGGCCCCCCGCAGAGCCCGGGGAACATGGACCCGACGCGCGGCCCGTTCCTGCGAGGGAGCCGAGAATATCACGTGGCAGGGGGGAAGGGTCGGGCGCCGGAGCCCGCCCCGCCCCCACCCCGCCACAGCCGCCCCTCGCCCGCCCTACCTCCCGCCTGCCCTCCGCGCGCCCCACCGCCCACCTGCCAGGGGAAAGAACGCAGTGTGCGCGCCGCCAGGAAGCGGCGCTCGAAACTCGGCAGCAGGCTCTCAGCTTCCGCGCTCTCCTCTGGCGCCATGGCGGGGCGGGGCGGGGCGGGGCCGCGGCGTTGCCCGGGAGACGGGGCGGCAGAGGGGCGGGGCTAAGGCGGTGAGCGGAGGAGGGGGAGGCGGCTTGGGGGCGGGGCCAGGTACGGCTGGGCGTGTGGGAGGCGGGGGCAGGGTTGGCTTGGGGCGGAGCCTGAGGCTTGAGGGCGGAGTCAGGGCTTTGGCGCCAAGAGAGGGCAGGCGGGAGGCGCCGGCTCTCTGGTGGCTTCCAGTCAGGCGAAAGGCAGGGTAATCGTTCTCTCTGTTCTCGCGCTTTCACAAGGGTCTTTTTGGCGGGGGCTGAGTGGACGGACGCGTAGCCCCCTCCCTGTTGCGCTCCTGGGAGCGAAGGAACCTGACTGCCCTCACGCTCCAAGGCTGTGTCCTCAGGCGGGGGGTTGGGGGCCGCAGGCCTTCGCCGCCCCTTCAAGTCAGGGTGCGGGTTCGCCGCTCCGGGTGGTTGGGTTGGTGGCGCGGTTAATGGGAGAGGGAACGTAGGTTCTCAGACCTGACCCACCAGGGCGCCACACGATGAGTGCAGGGCTGTGAGGTGCGCCCCCCCGCCAGAATTTTAAACGTTCCCCTGGAGGCCGTGGTGGGGTTTGGTCCCCTCTGCGGTCCGCGTGCTCTCCACAGCGCGGTGCCCTGTCTGGGCGGCGACCTCAATACGGGGAGCCATGCGCCGAGGTGCGCTCCAGGGCGGGGAGGGGGCGAGGAGCTTGGCAGGGTCAGCCCGAGGTCACGTCCTCTCCTTGACCTCAGCACGAGGCAGGACCCCTCCACTCCTCCGTCCTCCGCGTCTGCCCCTAACCCATCCAGTCTTGCCTTCACCAGACACTTATCAAGCACCTACTGCGTGCCCAGTGCTGTCAGGGCATGCAACTGTGAGGGAAACCAGGAGTGGCCCCTGAGGGTCAGGGGCTCGCGCGGCAGAGTAGGCACAGAACTAATTATCAGACAAGTATGTGTAGACGTACATGGCAATACCTGCAGTGCAGGTGAACTGCCGGAACTAAGGAAGACTTACAGTAGAAGTTTGACCTTGTAGGGAAAGGAATGTGAAAGGAGAGTAAGAGGGCTGCTGGGGGTGGTGGGGATGGGGAAGAAAGGGAAAAAAAAAATTATTTCCATTAGGCATTATTGTGTCTCGAGTGAAAGGCAGGATAGACAGCAACCCATGGTGCTGCCTCTGGAGTTTGAGCTGTGTTCAAAGTCTAACACGTTTACTTTAGCACATCTCTCATAAACTCCATTTGGAAGAGTCCAGAGCTAATTTGCTAAATATACTTGCAGGAGGTAGATGAGGGGGCAGATTAAATCTTATTACCCCTTTCAAATGAAAAACACTGAGCCCTGCTCAGCTATGAGAACAAGAGAGGAGAATTGATTCTAATTGAATGCATTTATTCTCATATCTGTTGTTCTAACACCAGCACCAAGTGAGCACAGGATCCAACATAAGAATGATTTGTCTTTTATTCCCTCAACACTGTTGATTTAAATAAAGAGGGTGGACTGTGATTATTGCTGTCTTTACACAGGATTAATGGTTTCTGGGTCTGATGTTGTAGAAATCCTCTGAGTCACAATATCCTGAGGTAGAATCATCTGAGATATGGCAATGAGTCTCAACCAGGGCTGAGTCTTGGTCCCAAGGGAATGATGCTTCAGAACTGGGCCAGGCGGATTGGTTCACTTTTGCTGTTTTGATCAGCTCTCTGCCTGCAATAGACAATGACAACCAGTGGGAAAGGGTCAAACTCATAAATACTAGGCTTATTCTGTTAACACGTATAATAGCTATTAATTGCTTTTCTTCTGAGGAGCAAAAGGGCATGTACAGTCAATGCCATAATAAGTAATACTGTGTGATTTTTTAAGATATTAATAAATCTAGGCTGGTTCAGCCTTTTCTGATGCCATAGATGGGAGGTAGATTGGGAAAGGACCCCAAGTGGGCCATAGCACTGACGTGCACACAGAAGAAACCTTTATTTTGGTGTGTGGGCTCTTGGGAGGGACAAAGGTCATAAAGTCATATATTTCAGATCTGAATCTGGAAGAATCAAGGCACTGAAGGCATTTTTAACGTCCCAAGGACCTCATAGGTGTGTGTTCAGGTGTAAGTGAAGATTAGGACTGCCATTTAACACAAAAACTAAAAATTCCAGGGGGTGTTTATATGAAGAGAAGCTTTAGGACACATCCCACGGCCATGCCAGCAGCAAAAGGGGATGTGTATGTGCACATGCTGCATTAAAGATTCGGCTTCTGGATTTGAGGCTTTTAATAATAATAATAATAATAACACCCACCACAACCACCTAATACATTTTTAACTGTATGGAATGGTTGCTTTTTAGAAATTATGCTGTGGGCATGGTAATTTAATCAGTACCTTGAAGTTTTTCCTTTATCTCTCCTATAGCTAATGGTTTCTTTAGAAAAGGACCAATTGATTTCTTTTTAAAATGTTGCTTCAGGGTGTAGAGACCTTTATAGGTCGTGTTTCAACTTATAGGAAATTTTTATAGTTCAAATATAAATTTCGTTAAATGTAGCCTTTGTAATGAAGTTAAGGTTAAGTAAAGTTCTGACTTTCCTTAGGCTGTTTATAGTGTTCAGGAGGCTCCCATTCTATTGAGATAGGAGCTATGTTAAAGCAGAAGGATGGTCAGGGTTGGGTTTAATAAGGAATGCAGGAGGCTCAGTCTAATGATGTAATTATTGAGATAAAGAGGTGCACCAGGGCTCTATAATGCTTTGATTCGTGGCAGAACCAGTGTTATGAGTTGGATTGTGTCCCCCACCTGCCCCGAAAATATGTTGGAAGCCCTAACCCTTGGTACTTAGGACCTTATGGTACTGGTGACCTTATTTGGAAATAGAGTCTGCAGATATAATTAAGATGAAGTCATCCTGGCTACAGAGGGCCCTAAATATCATGACTGGTGTCCATATAAGAGAAGAGAACACCATGTAAAGACAGAGACACAGGGAGAAGATGGTCATGTGATGATGGAGGCAGAGACTGGAATGGTGCATCTATAAACCAAGGAATACCAAGGATTGCCAGCAACCGCCAGAAGCTAGAAGAGGCAAGGAAGGATTCTCCCCTACAGGTTTCAGAGGGAGCCTGGCCCTGCCAACACCTTGATTTTGGCCTTTTACCCTCCAGGTCTGTGAGACAATAAATACCTATTGTTTTAAGCCAGCTACTTTGTGGTACTTTGTTATGGCAGCTGTGGAAAACTAATACAACTGGTATGTCATCCGAGGGACCCAGTCCAAAATGAAAATGCAGGTCCTTGTTAAAAAAATCAAGAATTCTGAAATGGTGCCAGTAGATTATTAAACCAAGTTGGGGGCTTTTCTGAGCCCTGGGCCTTGAGTGATTCCTCAGGTCACAAGTCATGAACCTGGCCTTGGTTGCTGGGTTCTCAAAGTGCTGGATCCCCTTTGGCATGCAGGAAGTGGTTGAAGTGGATTATTACAATGTGCACTGATTAACCATAGGAAACCCAAAGAACACTCACTTCTTTTTCCGGCGAATGGCTGTGTATGTCACGCTAGCAACAAACAGAACTGCAAGAACTCCTGTGACAATCGCGAGACCAAACGCTGTCCTTTGGAGAGCCAATGTCCTCTGTGTCTCTGCTCCTGATAAAATATCAGATGGTTTTTAATTGTCTGATTATTAAGAGGCTGTTCTTGCTTGTCCTGGGTCCCTGGGAAGTTTTCCATCCAGGCTCTGGTGAATATTAATTATGGAAATGAAATGTACATTTAACCCAAGAAAGTGCTCACTGTAGAGAAACCTTGTAGGGCAAGTCGTTGAAAGCCGATTTACTAAATGACCTATTTGCCAAATGACCCATTTTCCTAATGACCACTTTGCCAAGTGACCAATTTGCTAAAAAGCCAATTTGCTGAAAATCAGTTGGTGGGACATTTTGTTTATCAATAACTGATGACAGTCAAAGACCTTACCCCAGGCTCCCAATGGGCTATGGGACAGGGGAGGGGCCAAATAGTTGTAGCAAAACTCTAAAACTTAAAAAAAAAAAAAGCCTTAATAATTTGGTGAATTGTCATTCATTTAATTAGATTCCTACAAAATGGCCTGCTTCCTGTAAGTTCACAAGAAGATTGTGGGCAGTAGCTTAGAAAAAGGAAAAAGGGTGTCCTTTGTACTCTGTTCTAATTGAGCATAGTTAAAACGTTTTAAGTATAATAAATCACCGAGCAGCATCTAAGTCTCTCTCTGCAGAAGAAAAGCTGGCCAGTGTTTGCAAACAACTGAATTCTCAGAGATGATTCCATTCTTCCTTTATATCATCCAGATTTAAGATTTTGAAGTCTTAAGAATTAGCAACCTTATTTACAGGAACCACCTCCTTTCCCCTTTTTTCAGCAGTGAGTGGAATAGTTAAGGCTTCATTCCTCCCCTGTGAACAGCTTTCTTCCAGGCACCAGCAAGGACTAAGTTGCTGAAGGAAGGCTGCTTTTCTGTATCTAGAAGGGGCACCAAGGGACAGACTGCATGCGATTTCTGAGAATCAGAAGGATTATTGCTTGATGTTTTCTATGGAGAGCCTTCCTTTTGCCCCAAAGGCACTATATGAAATGCTGCCAACATGTGGAGGAATTCCCTACTTCCTCCTCTATCTGTTTAGAGCTGCTGCTATCTTGCCCTGGGGGCACTGAAGCTGCCAGGGAAACAGGATTATTCTGCCACCCCCACCCCCACCTTTTGATTCTTTTCTCAGGACAGAACACACTATCAATTTTCTATTGGTTGATTTTGTATCTCACCTGGCTGCTGGTCATATGAGTCCACAAGCATTTCCTGGGTGACTGCCAGGGAGCCATTGTGGGGTTCAGGGGTAACCCCCAGGAGCTTACACATGAGTGGGTAGATGTGGATGCTGTCAAAAGGCTCAGCTAGGTGATTCTTCTTGAAATCTGGCCCAAAAGCTCTGAATATGGTCTTCATGTC